GAATCAGGGACCCAGAGACCAGGAGAGATGCCTGTGCAAGCCGTTTACTGTGCCTTCTGACTTCTTTGAGGTTTGGACAAAGAAACCTGTCTTATCCCAGCTGTGCAGGAGCCAAAGTTTCCCCAGAACTACAACCTTGTAACGGAGAACCTTGTCCTGACAGAGTACACCTTACACTTGGGATTTCACAGGTAACTCTCCTGATGGCGCTAGGAAAGAACCATACAATCGTGCTGATGAGCAGGAAGCTCAGAGGCGTCTTGCAACCTCACTTCCCCCAGAAGGAAGGCTCGCATTAGGGTCTGGTAGGAAAAGGCATTATTTGCATTTATTTGTGTTTACATGAATTGGTTTTGTCCAAATAACTTGAATTTATGTTTAATTATTGATGTATTAAACTTACTAAAATTAAAGATACACTAGTATTTTTCTCTAAACTTGCAAATTTTAAAATCACTGTCTTCTATTGTTATCTGTCAAAGTGGAATTGTTTTCATTTAATATTTCACTCTCTGCTCTTGAATATTCATTACTTACTACTCCTGATGAAAAGAGACCAAGTTGTACTCTATGGTGTAGAGACAAGATTAAAGAAATGTTTATAAGGGATTCCACTAAGGTCAGTAAGACTGCAAAAGATTCATGTTTCAAAGATAAAGGGGATTCTAGAAGTGTGAAGGTTCTAGAACTAGAGGGTATAACTTTCAAAAATGGTTCTGGTTCTAGCTAGCTATAGTTATTCTAGAATTTTGTTTCCCTCTGGTTCAGCTGATTATGACGACGAGTATAAATAAGAAGAGAAAAAACTACTCACTCATAGTTGTAGTCTACGTCAGGGGTGGGCAACCGTTTTTCTGCCAAGGGCTGGTTGCTTATTTATAACATCATTCACAGACCACACAAAATTATCAGTTTAAAAATTAGCCTGCTCTGTGTGGTCAAACATTTAATTAATTCACCCCTAATGCCGTGGCAGGGCCAGACCAAATGATTTCATGGGCCGGACATTCCCCACCTCTGGTCTAGAGGATGGAATATTGAGGGTAGCAGTTTTTTAATACTTTATCAGGGTACTTAAATTGACGGGGCATTGTTCAAAACTTAGCAAATCTCTTAAAAAATGAAATTACATCTTTATTAGAGATTTTCTATCCCTCTCATTGACAATTTAAATGAGACAATAGATAACAATTCAGCATGTTTTTGGCCTGTTCAACCACCTAGATTCAAACACAAAAGTGAATGTCATCTAGTTTCCCAGTAAGGCTACCTCCCCCGCCGCCCCCCGCCCCCCCCCCCCCAGACCATCACCTTCAGGGCCAGAGAAGATAATTTGGGGCTATACACGAAGAGAAACTACCCATAACATTGAATCGTGGGTCTTCCTTTCCTTAGAGAACATTTGGCTGGCCCTTTGTGAAAGATAATGAATACTGAACAGAAGGCTTTTTCATCGCCGCCCGGTGGCTGCTCGCTTATAGGTGGTCTCTGTTACTGTAGAGCCTCTTTTTTAATCCTCACCCAAGGAGTGAGGATATTTTTCCCATTGATTTTTAGAGAGAGTGGAAGAAAGGCAGGGAGGAGAGAGAGACAAATTGACTGGTTGCCTCTCACACGCACCTGGACCGGAGCAGGAATCGAACCTCCCATGCCCTTGACCAGGAATCGAACCTACAACAGCCGATGCTCTAGTCTAGCCACTTAGTCACACCAACCAGGGCTTTAGTTCTCTTCTAACCATGGGAAGACTGTCCATATAACTATATCTAAGTACAGTCATTGCACTTGTGGGTTGTCGAATTCTCCTGCTGGCCTTCTTGTACTTTGCTTAATAGTTATTTATTTGACATAGTAATATCCCAATCTATACCCTGCCTACTATTTGTAATTACCTATAATTATGTTGAAGACTTGGTAACATTTTCCAGTGCTATGCCCCTGCCTCTTTGTCAATAACTTTCATGAGTGCCTTCTGTATTGTCATAATTGCAACTTCCTACATCCTAAAAGAGATACTAGAATAAATTAATGAGGATTTGACCCTAGCCAGTTTGCCTTAGTGGATAGAGCGTCGGCCTGTGGACTGAAAGGTCCCAGATTCGATTCTGGTCAAGGGCACATGCCCAGGTTGCAGGCTTGATCCCAAGTAGGGGGCACGCAGGACGCAGCCAGTCAATGATTCTCTCTCATCATTGATGTTTCTATCTTTCTCTCCCTCTCCATTCTTCTCTGAAATCAATAAGAAATATATATTTTTTAAAAGATACAAAAAACTATTATAAAAATAAAATGAGGATTTGTATTTCTGGAATGGAAAATACTCAACTATCCCTATATGAGCCTCCTGACCCAGTCTCTTCTGCTTTCTTGGAGGCAGGTTGCATGATCAGATGGTAAAAATCAACCAAAATCTGCACCGGCTGCAGGTCGCCTGGCGAGATGCTCAGCAAAGCTCTAGCCCCGCGGCTGACAACCTGCGTGAGCAGTTTGAGCGACTTATGACCATCTATCTCTCTACCAAGACCGCCATGACTGAGCCGCAGATGCTGCAAAACTGCCTCAACTTGCAGGTGTCCATGGCCGTTCTCCTCGTTCAACTGGCCATAGGCAATGAGGGCTCCCAGCCTGTAGAGCTGACCTTCCCTCTGCCCGACGGCTATAGCTCCTTGGCCTACGTGCCAGGTAAGCGGGCCTGCTTGGGAGCTTCCAGTCTGTAGCCACTGAGGTTTACCTGGGTCACCTTGGAAGGTAAACCCTTCCTTAGTCATCATCCGGCTGTTTTTGGACAAACTGCTCATACTTGCAGTGCCACCTCCTGGTGCACGTGTGGGGCCAGCAGCCTTGTCCTCAGCTTTGTGGCCTCCCACTGCGCACATCAGAAGACAGGCTTCAGAGGACAGAGGCCTTTCAGAGTCAGGTTCCAGCGCTGTCAGTTTCCATCATTGATATTGTTTGTTGCTCAACTTGGAAATTTACCTAACTCTGCCTGTGCTAGTCTGTAGGGGGAAATCATCTCCTGTTGGTTAACCAGGAAGGGAAACTGTATATGTGGTTGACGTAGCCATCAAAATTAGAGTATATTGGTCATCCATTACTGAGTAATAAATTATCCCAAAACACAGAAACTGTAAGACAGCAAACATTATTTCACACTGTGTCTGTGGTGTCAGGCACCCAGGAGCAGCCTAGCTGCATGGTTCTGATTCTGGGTCTTGCGTGAGGTGTGGCCAAGCTGTCAGCCAGGGCCATAGGAATCTGAGGACTCGGCCATTGCTGAAGGATCTGCTCACAAGCCTGTCCCGTGGTTGCCTGCTGGCCTCTTTTCTACACCACACAGGTCCCTACTCAGTGCCACTCCTGATAGGGCGGCTGGCTCCCCGCAGAGCAAGGGGCCCAATGGGAGCTGCTCTTACAACTGATCATGGAACTGACATGCACCAGCTGTGCATGCCTCAGGGTGTATCTTCTACCCGGAGGAGTGCAGGACGGGACACCCAAGGGTGTGAGTAGCAGGAGGTTAGGACCATCCTGGAGACTGGCTAGCATGGTCACCTAATGAGTCTTTAAGATGCTTCGTACATCTAAAGGGTTGTTTAGTGCCCGGTTAAGGTTGAGTGTGGGAAATCGGTGTACTCTCTGAAACTGCACTGATGTGTTAACAGTATTTTTGTGTTCCTACTGCTCTTATATTTATTGGATAAAAATAAAAATTGACACATTTAAAGGAGACTCTGCATTTATTAACTTGTCACCATTCCTAGTATCTACAAGACGTTTGGGTTCTGTTAACCTTCACTGAATACACTGTAGAATTTGTATGTACAGAAAGTCAGGCGTTTGCCTAATTCCAGTGACTTTTTTTCCAGAATTTTTCGCAGATAACCTGGGTGATTTCCTCATCTTCCTCCGCCGCTTTGCGGATGACATGTTGGAGACGTCCGCAGACTCCCTGGAGCACGTGCTTCACTTCGTCACCGTCTTCACGGGAAGCATAGAAAGGTGAAGCGCTGGGGCTCAGCTTCCCTGGTTAGAGCTGCAAAGCGTTCAGAGACTTCTCACCGAGGACAAGCCAGCGGCTCAAAGGGTTCCTCCAGAAGCTGTGTTACATTGTCGATCACCTGACCATCCTATGGGTAGCCAGAAACCCCACTCTTGCCCACAGGGAATTTGAACTTTCCTATAAGGTACCTGATAGGCATGCCACTGCCAGCCCCTAGTGAAACTCACCTTAATGCAGAAACCTGACCCGTGGCAGCCAGGTGCTAATGATCTTTTAATAACCGTATGATACAGGTTGCTCTTGAAATCCTGAGTTGGGTGAGCAGTAAACTTAGGTAAATGCTTTCTGATTTCAAGTCTTTCTCGTTCGTCGCTTCTAGTCCTCTTTGCCAAAGGACGATTCTCACTGACCGTAGAGATGCCTCTCTGATGTTTCTGGTGCCTCGGCCCAAGGAAACAAACAGTGTGTACGTAGTGAGGATTGCTCCACGGAGAAGAGAATGAGCCACAGTCCTTGGAGCCATGTCAGTGAGAAGTAGGTAAAAGCGATCCTTCACTGAGCTGAGCAGATCTAATGAGGAAACATAAGTCAGCAAGTATTTATTAGGCGCACCTGGTATGCACTGTAAGTAACATAGAACGCTTGGAAAGGCAAGTGTATCCCTGATGAAACAGTCAGACTAGTAAGCAGGAAAGAATGCATTATAGAGAAGTACACAGAATGGCTAAGCAGTAAATACAAACCCAAGTACTCACCCTCACACTTGGTCAGCTGTGACCTCAAAGTTGAATGGTATTCCCTACATTATCCCCCAGAAATTGACAGACTTAAAGCCGCAGAGCCCTGTTTCCCACAGTGCTGGCGTGGGATGTTTGCTCCTCTGGAGACAATTTGACTCCTTGGCTTGGACGCTTTTGACATGGTGGTCGTAGAGGGCACGGCCCAGCACTTTCCCTAAGAAGAAGAAGAAAGAGGTTTCAGTTACTCTTCATACTCCTGAGAAGACTGGCTAGCCAGGGCCCTGCACCAGTGTACACCAGTATTTTCGGAGAAATAAAAACCTGAAGTGGCTGAAATGAATGTTGATGAAGATAATGAAATAGTTTTCAAACAGCCCTTCTCTGGCATAGAAGGAGAAAGCACAAGAGACAAACAGCTACACGGTCAAGGGAAAAGGAAAGAAAAAGCAGTCAGTGTTCTGAATGCATTGTGTATCCTTCTGGAAAATGTGGTTTTATTACGAGGACTGCTTTTTTGTATTTAAGAAGATACAGTGGAATGCAGTTGTTGAAAGGGTTGTCAGAAAAAACTGTAGGTTCAAGTCCTAGGAAGCAGTCCATGGCTTTGGCTCGCCTGCCCAGCTGCAGTGCAGGTATGCGCTCCGGCTCACAGCAGCCTGGCTCAGCCTCTTCTAGTTTTCTTTACAGATTTATGTCTTTAGTTACTCTGCCTGGAGAGAAGGGTCACCAGTAACTTCAGGTTTAAGTACTAAAGTCTTTGTTGTCACCATCAAATAAAGAAAATAAAACATTTTTTAAAATCTACCCGCTCAACTTGCTTTCTGCCCTGTTTGCAGGATGAAGAATCCCCACCTGCGGGCCAAGCTGGCTGAGGTGCTGGAAGCGGTGATGCCCCACCTGGATCAGACCCCGAGCCCCCTGGTGTCCAGTGTGTTCCACCGGAAACGTGTGTTCTGCAACTTTCCCTACGCAGCCCACCTTGCGGAAGCTCTGATCAAGGTCTTTGTGGACATTGAGTTCACAGGTAACGCGGACAAGAACTAAAAAGCTGATACTTGTGCAATTTCATAGCTGATGTTTTTTACTAGTTTGAGTTCTTGTAAGTATTTGAATATCAGAAAAACGTCATCATTAATTGAATTCCTACTATGTGCCACCTTGATGCTAAGTGCTTTTTTTTACATTGTTTCATGAATTTGTCACCATCTGGAAAGTTTTACTGTATTATCCTCATTTTACATATAAGGACATGGATCCTCAAAAAAATTAAATTATTTGTCTGTCATACAACTGAGTGGTAGGCTTAGGTCTTTCTCCTCAAAAAAAAAACATACACTCTTACCAACTTTATTATTTACTGCTTGATCAAACCATACTCAAATAAATTAGGCTGTCTGATTAAAACCCGAGTCTTTATTTTCTCTGCCTCAAAATTGCAGAATAGTGGATAATGAGACAGTGTGCTGATTGAAATATTCTTTTATCCAAACTGTCTAATAGTCTAATTGTTAGATTAAGAATAACAGCAGGCTCCCTGGCCAGTGTTGCTCAATGGTTAGAGTGTCAGCCTGCACACCAAAGGGTCAAGGGTTTGATTCCAGGTCAAGGGCATATACCTAGGTTGAGGTTTGCTCCCTGCTCCCGGTTGGGGTGCATTCCAGAGGCAACCAATCAACCTTGATCTTTCTCTTTCTCCTTCCCCACCCCCCTTCTTTTCTCCCTCCCTTCCACTTTCTCTGAAAAACAATGGAAAAAAGTATCCTCTGGTGAGGATTAACAAAAAAAGAACAGCAGGCAACACTCCCTTTCTCTCTTGGCTTTTTGAGATCTAACCCTGAGATGCTGTGTTTGAGTAAACAATACCCCATCTCAACCAGTAAACAGGATGTTAAGCAGTTACTTAAGACCCTTTTTATTTTTTATTAATTATTTTTTTGATCTTCACCAAGGATTTTGGCGGGTTTTTTTAGAGAGAGAAGGAGAGGGAGAGAGAGAGAGAGAGAGAGAGAGAGAGAGAGAGACATCGATGTGAGAAACACCAATTGGTTGCCTCTTGTACATGCCCCAATTGGGGACCAAACCCACACCCTAGGTGTGTGCCCTGACCAGGAATCGAACTCACAACCTTTAGGAGTGGAATGGCACTCCAACCAATGAGTCACACTGGCCAGAGCTAGACCCCTCTTAAAGGGGATGTCCTAGTATCCAATGACAAATACAACATTTATTATTTTTTTAATTTTATTTTTCCATCACAGTTTACATTCAATATTATTTTTTACTAGTTTGAGGTGTATCGCATAGTTGTTGGACAATTATAAAGAGACATTTAATTTTTTTTAATATCTTTTTATTGCTTTTTTTTTAGAGAGAGAGATAGAAACATGGATAAAAACCATCCATCGGCTGCCTCCTGTATGCCCCCTACTGGGGGTCGAGCCCAAAACCCAGGCATGTGCCCTAACCGGGAATCAAATAGGCAACCTCTTGGTTCATAGGTAAATGCTCAACCACTGAGCCACACCAGCTGGCACATTTAACATTTTATGGACTACCTTCTCGTCTTTAGATTTTGACTTTGTCACTTGTTCTGTTCACCTGAGCCTTGGTTTCCTCATCTATAAAATGGGTCGAAGTGAAATAATGCATGTAAATCATAATACATAAGAAGTTGAGCAATAAATTGCTGCAGTTTCCTCATTATCTCATAACACAATTCTCATAACACAATTCTTTAGTTTCCTGCAATTATCTCAGGATATGTTATAATCCCTGTCTTATATCGGAGGAAGTGAAAGTTGCATGATGTGGAGCGGAAGGAAGTCCTAGGTCTTCTAACTCCACACCCCTTGCTCTCCCTCTATTATGTGGCCTGACCTGTGTGCTCTAGTGCAATACAGGCCACAGGCTTTCAGCTTCTGCCCTGCTTTTTCAGAGTCATTAAGGAACGGCCCTGGCCGATGTGGCTCAGTGGGTAGAGTGCTGGCCTGCGGACTGAAGGCCCCGGGTCTGATTCCTGGTCAGAGCACATGCCCAGGTTGCGGGCTTGATCCCCAGTGGGGGTCATGCAGGAGGCAGCCAATCGATGATTCTCCCTCATCGTTGATGTTTCTATCTCTCCCTTTCCCTTCCTATCTGAAATCAATAAAAATACATTGAAAGAAGGAAAGGAAGGAAGGAAAGGGAGGGAGGGAGGGAGGGAGGGAGGGAGGGAGGGAGGGAAGGGAGGGAGGGAGGGAGGGAGGGAGGGAGGGAGGGAGGGAGGGAGGAACAGTTGGCCACACATCTGGCATATTATCTGTGAAGATTGTGGGGATTATTTGATTTCCCATCTGCACATGGCTGTCTGCCATAATGACAGGCAGAGGCTCATTTAGAGTCTGATAAATACTCTACATTTCATGTGGAAGCATTTGTTTCTCTTGGCTTTTATTGTGTAGGTCAGTCCTTGTCCTCTTCTGTAGGACAAGGTATTCTTCTGCTCTGTCAGTGAGGAAGTAAGCAAATGCTTGTCTACAGCTCTAGGCCTTTATAAGCTCTCAAGGCAGATTTTGTCAGCCTTGACACATTCAGAGTCAAGGAAAATGGCCACACATAGACATAAGCTCTTACTCTTTCTCTAATGGCACCTTTAACACCTTTGCTGGGTTTTTGCTCTTGCCTTACTCCAGGAGACCCCCATCAATTTGAACAGAAGTTCAATTACCGCCGTCCCATGTATCCCATTCTAAGGTACATGTGGGGAACAGATACCTATCGAGAGAGCATTAAGGTAAGAGTTTTCGGTGAAACCAGACTAAGTTATCAGAGTTTTTGTTTCAGATAAACCCCATAAGTTGCGGTTCAGTACTAACATGGTTTTCTCTTGGGCTGGGACTTACAGGATTTGGCTGACTATGCCTCTAAGAATTTAGAAGCCATGAATCCCCCACTTTTTCTCCGCTTTCTTAACCTGCTAATGAATGATGCCATATTCCTTTTGGATGAAGCCATACAGGTAAAAAACCCAAACAGATTAACTGCTCCTACACCTTCAAATCATGGCCAGTACATACTTTTAAACTTTTCATCATAATAGAGCAATCTTCATGCTTTTAGTACCAGTTTTAGACACTAAAAATCTGCAAGTAGCAGTGTACTACCAGCCTTCCCCTTACAGAGCTCGAGAAGTGTGGTTCCATTAAAGACCAAAAGCAAGGCTCATTGAAGCCTCGAGCTGGGATGATGCCTTGGCAGAGGGTGGAAAAGAACATATGATGAGGCCAAACTGAGGTAGACTGCCAGAACGAACTAGGCTCGCCCCACAGAAGCCAGAACCTCGCATTTGGTCAGTGACTTTCTCTTCAACCTTTTCCATCCCACCACATTAGGAACAGTGGCTCACTGAGGCAACGCTTCTTATCCCTCTCCTGAAAGATTGTGATTTTTACACCACTGCTTGGAAAAAAACTAGCTTGGGTTGTTTTTTCATGTAAAGACTTGCCAATACTCTCCATCTCTCCACTACCTCCCAAATCTTTAGCTGTATAGAAACATGGGTTTCACAACATGGACAGCTGGTGCCTCTCAGCCCCTTTGGGGTTTTGTATCCTGGACCATCCCTATGGAGCTGCCTGTTGCCCATGTAAAAACTTCCCGTCTACAAAGGGACAAGCAGTGACCAGCTGGAGTGGAGGCAGGAAAATCATGAGGGTAGCCTGTTGGAGAGCCATGAGCTCCTCCTATTGATTAGCAGTCTCCCAGCAACTTGTGAGAAATTTTTCCTGCTTTTTGCATCTATATATATAAAAGCCTAAGTGACCGCTTGACTGTTCGACCAGTAGCTATGACATGCACTGACCACCACGGGGCAGACGCTCAACTTACAGGCATGGAAACATGGAACAGACTGATGAATCGAAGAGGGAAGGGGGGAGGAGGGAGAGTGGGAAGAGGTTAACCAAAGATCTTATATGCATAGTAGAGGCCCAGTGCACCAATTTGTGCACTGCTGGGGTCCCTCAGCCTGGCCTGCGGGGATCAGGCCAAACTGGCAGTCTGACATCCCCGAGGGGTCCCGGATTGTGAAAGGGTGCAGGCCAGGCCGAAGGACCCCTCTGGTGCACAAATCCATGCACCAGGCCTCTAGTAATCCTGTAAGATTTTAGATAGATTTTCTTAGAAAACAATAAACAGCCCCTTCTGAGTAAGAGCTGTGTGACCCAGATGGCATTTTCATGGGACTGTAATTTTAACATGTTTGCTGTAACAGCAAAGGGGGGTTTTAAATATGGTTCTCCTTCCTGGCGTCTTGCGTGTTTGATAAAGCTTTGTTTTTTAATACAGCTTTGGGGGATTTCATTTTATTTTTCCCATCATTCAGGAAGGGTTCATCCTCTTTTTCGTCCTATTTGTTTTTGCTTGGGTTTCATACATTACACCACTTAGTCTCTATAATATTTCTAGAGGAATTACCAATAAGTCTACCTAGGCTGAAACAAAACTATACGGAGCCACAGTTTTTCTTTTTTCCCAAAATTTCTCTTTTAGCTTCAGCCCTCTGCTGAGAAATAAAGCCTCATGTCTCTGTGGCCGTCCCTGGTTTTCCCAGCATAGTGGCCTAGATTTTAAATGGGACCTCAAGTCTGATCTTCCCTTCAACTGAACTTCTTCTCTGATACATTCTACCTCTGGTTCCCATAGTATCTGAGCAAGATAAAGATCCAACAGATTGAGAAGGACCGAGGTGAATGGGACAGTCTGACTCCAGAAGCCCGCCGAGAGAAGGAAGCTGGCCTGCAGATGTTTGGACAGCTGGCACGTTTCCATAACATCATGTCCAATGAAACAATTGGTACCCTTGCCTTTCTCACATCAGGTAAGTACACAGAGCACCGCTTTCCCAAAAATGCAGTGGTCAAGATCTGCTTCATTTGAGGTACCAGCCCAGCTGAAACTAAGTGTTCAGACTCTGGTGACATTATCCTCCACAATGTGGGAGAGAAATGAATCACTAGGGGCTTCAGGAAACATGATGCCTTGTTGGCAGGGAATGAGGAAATGGCCACCGCACACTGCTGCCAGAAAGCACAAATGGGTATCGTTTTCTTAAGGACAAGTTAGCAATATGAATATATCAGGTGGAGAGGAGGAAAATTAACCTGAAAAATAGTCTGGAACTCTGATTAAATGTAGGTCAAACAAAGACATTATCTCCACCCCCTCTACAGCTACACTGTCCAGTGCAGTAGCCTCTTGCCACATATGGCTATCAAACACTTAAAATGTGGCCAGTTTGAATTGAGATGTGCTATAAGGAAATACATACTGCAAAACTTAGTATTAAAAAAGAATATTAATAATTTTATATTGATTTCACGCAAAATGACAACCAAGAATCACCAGACATTTGAGGAAATCTAGCATGAAAGAGATAATATGTGAAAACTTTTTTTCCTTTCAGTTTATTGATTTTTAGAGAGAGGAAGGGAGAGGGAGAAAGGGAGAGAAAATAAGTGCGCCTGGCCAGTGGGCTCAGCAGTTGAGCGTTGACTCAGGAACCAAGAGGTCACTGGTTTGATTCTCAGTCATGGCACATGCCTGGGTTGCTGGCTCAGTCTGCAGTAGAGGGTGTGCAGGAGGCAGCCAATTGATGATGTTTATTTCTCATCAATGTTTCTATCTCTCTGTCCTTCTCCCTTCCTCTCGCTCTAATAAAAAACATATTTTTTTTAAAAATCAATATGAGGGCCAAATGTCAATCAGCTGCCTCCTGCTTATGTTCCACTGGGGATCGAGCCCACAACCCAGGCATGTGCCCTTAACCAGGAATTAAACTGGCAACCTTAAGGTGCACAGGACAATGCCCAACCAACTAAGCCACACCAGCCAGGGTAATACATGAACACTTTCATAAAAATTTTCATAATCTCAGAGGGATAAGAGAAGATATAGCATATCAGTAGAAGGGTCAAAGATAAATTCAAGGAACTCTTGAGAGCAGCACAGAAAGGACTCCCATAAGCACATTAGAATTAAAATTATACAGCCTGGCCTGCGTGACTCTATGATGGAATGGTCAACCTATGAACCAGTAGGTCATGGTTCCATTCCTGGTCAGGGCACATGCCCAGGTTGCAGGCTCGATCCTCAGTGTGGGGCCTGCAGGAGGCAGCCAATCAATGATTCACTCTCATCATTGATGTTTCTGTCTCTCCCTCTCCTCTCTGAAAGCAATAAAAAAAATTTTTTGGGGGGGGCACTGCATTTAAAAACAAAAAACTAAACTACAGAATAACCATCATTGAGAACCTCCTAAAATCTAGCTGAATGAAAGTCATATAACTAAGGATTTAAAGAAGCCACATGGGGTGGAGATGCTGAATGGGCTAGTTCCACATCAACGTGTAACAGATAAAATATGAGAGGAAGCCCTGGCCATGTTGGCTTAGTTGTTTGGGCATTGTCCCATGCACTAAAAGGCTGCCAGTTCAATTCCCAGCCAGAGCACATGCCTGGGTTTCAAGCTCGATCCCCAGAGGGGGGATTAGGGAGGACCTGCAGGAGGCAGCAATTTTTTGCTCTCACATTGATGTTTCTCTTTCTCTCTATGTCTCCCCCTCTCTCTCTAAAAATCAATTATTTTAAATCTTGAAAAAACAATCAGGAAGGATATCTCTGCTGCAGAGAATCTCCCCTGAGGAGCGCGGGATCCCAGCCCCTCATGAGGCCCCTCCATCCCAGGGTTCCAGAGCCAGGATGAGACGTCCACATAACTTCCGCCTGAAAAGCCAGTGGGGATTGAGGCTGATGGAGATTAAGACTGCTGGAGTCCCAGGCAGTGCCTCTTAAAGGAGCCACACATGCATTTACTCAGACTCCCTCTTAGTTCCAGCTATGGGGCAGCACCTTGAAAGGCACTAGGGACATCCTGGAAGGAACTGAATTGTCTGGCATCAGGGTGAGAGCTGGAGGGGCAGCTTTCTCCCAGAGGCCATAGTTCCTTTGCTGAGCCCTTCCCCTACACAGGGCCAACAGGTAGTGGCCATATTGAGTCTCCATCAACTGGATGTTATTGTTCAACACACCTGGGGATTCCCTGAGACCCCACCCCACCAACTTGCCAATCAACCCAGGCTGATTCCAGTGGCTTTTCCATATAAATGGCCTTCAGATTTACCTAAAATCTCTCAAACAAGCAGCAGCTGGCCTTGGTTTGCAACTTGGCCTTTCCTGGGCACCTCCAAGCCAGCACAGGTAGCAACTATCTGCACATCACTTTGTAGCTCATGGTAGGTGGCCCCGGGCAGTACACAGGCAATGGCTGTCCATTGCCTGGACCTCCTGGTAGGCCCTCCTGGTAGGCCCTTGGTGGACAGCTTCAGACCACATCAAAGCACCACCCAACCACCTCATAAGTGACACACAGAAGGGGCAGACTCAGCAGGTACCAAAGACTTGCTGAAGTAAGTCCTGCTTTGTGGGGTGGGCCCCTGCACAGTGGTGGCAGCCAGTCCTTGCAGCTGGTCAGCCTGGGGGTAAATCCCTCCCATTAACATCCCAACAGCAATTAAGGCTCACCTACAACAGGAGGTTGTACACAGCCCACATGGTGGCACACATGGAGCACCCAGCTCAGGTGAACAGGGAGGCTGTGCCACTGGACCCTAAGGACATCTACTACATAAGGTCACTCGACCAAGCCTGAGAGATGGAGCAGCTCTACCTAATACATATAAACAAACACAGGGAGACAGCCAAAATGAGGAGACAAGGAGACATGTCCCAAGTGAAAGAACAGAACAAAACTCCAAAAAAAGAAGTAAAAAAAAAAAATGGAGACAAGCAATCTACTAGATGCAGAGTTCAAAACACAGTTAAAAGGATGTTCAATGAAATTAGAGGAGGAGTAGATGATCTTAGTGACAACTTCAACAGCATAAAAAAGGACATGGGAGCCATAAACTAGTCAGAAATGAAGGATATACTAACTGAAATGAAGAATCATTTACAGGGAATCAACAGTAGAGTAGATGAAACTGAGAATCAAAACAGTAATTTGGAAAATAAGGAAGCAAAAGCCCTAACCGGTTTGGCTCGGTGGATAGAGCAAACGCCTGCGGACTCAAGGGTCCCAGGTTCGATTCCAGTCAAGGGCATGTACCTTGGTTGCGGGTACATCCCCAGTGGGGGGTGTGCAGGAGGCAGCTGATCGATGTTTCTCTCTCATCGATGTTTCTAACTATCCCTCTCCCTTCCTCTCTGTAAAGAATCAATAAAATATATTTTTAAAAAAAATAAAAATAAGGAAGCAAAAAGTCACCCAACCAGAACAGCAAAAAGAAAAAAATTACAATAGTATAAGGAACTTTTGGGACAACTTCAAGTGTACCAACATTCGCATCATGGGGGGTTGGCCAGAAGTAGGAGAGAGAGAGCAAGAAATTGAATACCTATTTTAAAAAATAATGACAGAGCCTGGCTGATGTGGCTCTGGTTGATTGTCAACCTATAAAGCAGGAGGTCACGGTTCGATTCCCAGTCAGGGCACATGCCTGGGTTGCAGGCTCAATCCCCGGTGTGGAGCATGCAGGAGGTAGCCAATCAATGATTCTCTCTCATTGATGTTTCTATCTCTCCCTCTTCAATAAAAAAATGTATTTAAAAAATAATAATAATGACGGAGTTTGGCCGCCATGACTTAGTGGTTGAGCGATGGTTCGATATCCTGTCAGGGCACATGCCCAAGTTGTGAGCTTGATCCCCAGTAAGAGGCCTGCAGGAGGCAGCTGATTGATGATTCTCTCTCATCATTGATGTTTTTATCTCTTCTCCCTTCCTCTCTGAAATCAATAAAAATATTTTTTAAAAAACAAAACAAACATAAAACTATCATTTAATATCAAAGGACATATAAAGAGCCTCCCAGACAAGGAAAAGCTAAAGGAGTTCATCACCACCAAACCTATATTACATGAAATGTTAAAGGATCTTCTTTTTTTTTAATATATATTTTTATTGGTTTTAGAGAGGAAGAGAGAGGGAGGGAAAGAGAGAAACATCAATGTTGAGAGAGAATCTGACCAGATGCCTCTTGCACACCACCTACTGGGTATTGAGCTCACAACCCAGGCATGTGCCCTGACTGGGAATCAAACCATGATCTCCTGGTTCATAGGTCGATGCTCAACCACTGAACCACACCGGCCGGGCAAGGGTCTTCTTTAAGAAAGGAAAAAAGATCTCAGACATCTCTTGCAGCAGTCTGTTTACCGACACATCTCAGGGCAGTGGTCGGCAAACTCATTAGTCAACAGAGCCAAATATCAACAGTACAACGATTGAAATTTCTTTTGAGAGCCAAATTTTTTAAACTTAAACTATATAGGTAGGTACATTGTTATTAACTTAATTAGGGTACTCCTAAGGCTTAGGAAGAGCCACACTCAAGGGGCCAAAGAGCCGCATGTGTCTTACGAGCTGCAGTTTGCCAACCATGGTCTTAGGGCAAAGGAAACTAAGAAGGAAATAAACAAATGGGACTACATCAAAATAAAAAGCTTCTGCACAGCAAAAGAAACCATCAACAAAATGAAAGGGGAGCCCACTGTATGGGAGAACATATTTGCCAATGTTACAGCTGATAAGGGGTTAATTTCCAAAATACGTAAAGAACTCATACAACTTAACAAAAGGAAGACAAATAATCCAATTAAATAATGGGCAAAGGACCTAGATAGAAATTTCTGAAAAGTGGACATACAGAAGGCCAAGAGACATGGAAAAAATGCTCAAAGTCACTAATCATCTGAGAGATGCAGATTAAAAAGTCAATGAGGTATCACCTGACACCTGTCAGAATGGCTACCATTAATAAAT